AGACCACTCGGCTACTGTGACCGGCAACAAAACAATCGCTAAGAAGAAATTCCTTATTATCCTCCGACGTCACAAGACCTCACGGTCTTCGAAGAGACGCCCATTGCTGGTCGAAGCCATCCCAGAGACTTCGTTAGATATGGAAGACGAAGCGCGTGCTTTTAGCTGTCCTTAAAATTACATAAATTACATAGATCTTCTTCTAGTGCAGATGTCAAGAAAAGTACAGCCATACCCCCACTCCCACATGTCTTCATGTCACAGCGCTAGTTAAGCACAGGGACAGATTTAGTTTATGTTTATATTTGAATGGATCTTTAAGGTTCCGGGATAGCTCAGTCGGTAATGCGATGAGCTACGGGCTGGGAAGCCCGAGTTCAGTTCCCGGTAGGGGCAAGTTTTTCTCTACTCTACAGCTTCCAGACCTGCTCTGAGATCCATCCTGCCTCCTATGGAATGGGTACCGGTGGTAAAGCGGCCGAAGCATGAAGCTGACCACTCGCCTACATCTAATGCAAAGTTCGGTAATGGTGGAGCTATAATTCCACTCCTCCATACGTCTTCATGGCATATTGTTTAATTAAGCATAAGGACAGATTTATATCTACCTTTAATGTAGATCTTTATTTATAAACTTCGTGAATTTACGTTCGTTTGTAAATTGCTACGCAACGTCACGTATCGCCGTATGCTACTATACAAATTAATATAACATAAACTGAGTTTTGTTCAAGTGAATAAACTTGCATTGCTCGTACGTGAGAAAGTGATCGTGTTATCTTTGCGGCTGCTTTGATTGGCGTCTTGTTCTGTTGGTTTCCCCATGGATGCGGCCCACGAGAAGACAATCAAATCTATATAACCCCATCTTTCGTGTCTCGTAAATCGCGTTAGTCAAGTTTCTCTCTGCCCTGAAATGTACTCAGTTACTAAACCCGAACTCGGTAAGCTAATTCCGCACGATGGATCGGCTGTGATTGCATTTTCAACATACTGTCACGTGATCGAGTGGCCTATAGACGGGGTTTGGATGATAATTGGATTTATTGCACTCCTAAAAAACGTAATCACAAAGTTTCAATTTATAAAGTATTCCATCTGTAATGCAACAGAGTCAGTCCTTTCTTTAGAGACACTAAAATATATTTAATTAACTAAAATGTGTTTATGAGTATATTATGAGTAACTACAAATAAGTACAGCGGTATCGCTAATTGACACACACTGCAGTTCACTACACCACGTACGAATACTTCTGTCTTCTGGTTCTTTACCGATTGTCGCCTGGTAACGGCTTCCAACGCCGTAGCTTCCTCAGCTTCCGAATTCACGTCCTTACTGGCCGGCGGCTGTCACAATTAACTAAACTCTAGGCTTGTCCTGCTTATAACGCCTCGTCACTGACCGCACAGAAAACACCTCTCCCAACAATTCTTACATTGCTGCATCATGTAACTATCGCACGGACCCCGTAGAGCACCGCTTCCAAGTTAGTCAGTTGTTGCGTGTTACGAATTTGTTGCCTAGTGACAGGCGTTTCTAGAGACATTGCTAATCTCTGTTGGCTTCACAGTTATTGCCTTAAGCAAATACGCCACAATACGATGGAAATTAAAATCAACCTACTGGTTACATCGTTTACCACACAGAATTTTTTTTCCGAACTTTATTTGCCGAAGGTATCACTACCTACAGAGATGTCTCAAAACAAATATCACCAATCTCTGTCTTTAAATTTTAAACCTACGATATTGTCACCTGTATGTGACTATAGACGGGGTTTGGATAGGTAATTGGATTTATTGAAGACTTATACACAGAACCCGTAACTACAAGTAACTATAGCGCTACCGCTAATTCACACACTCATCAGTTCACTAGAGGACGCACTATGTCTTAGCCAGTCGTTGCCTGGTAACGGCTTCTAAAGGCGGACAGTCCCTTTCTTCTGGGTTCCCGAACTGTCCTCGTGCTTCAGCTACCAGCTCCACCGCAGCAGTCCTCTACTCACTCACTCACCAACCAACTCACTTCACTCCACTGCGCTATCTAAAGTGCACTCTCAGTCTGAGTTTATGTTACGATCAGTCGGTTACTGGTCAGTCGGCCAGTCTGTCTGGGAATAAAGCACCCATCTGGGGCTTATGACTAGATTTCTAATACTGTCAGACAGTTGCGGTTTGTTTTTTGTGGGAAGCTCTCTCTGACGAGAGGACGGGTCTGTCGTTTACATTTGCTACTGGCCATCGCCAGCGCAGTCATTCTCGGGTCCGAGTCCCGTGGGACTCATGGCCATATTTTACTGTCTCAGTTTCGAGACTTCCGTTTTTGTAGCCTCCTATGACTCGCAGGGCTGCGGTGGAGGTATTCGACCCCACCTCCTCAGGGTATAAACTGCACTCAAATCAAAGTCAAAGTCACATTGCGACTGACGGTCAGGCAGTCCGTCAGTCTTGGTGTCGAGCCCAATGTAGGTCTTATGACCAGATATTTATTACTGTTTGAAAGTTACAGTCTTGTTATTGTGAGGCACCCTCTCTGACGAGAAGACTGGTATATCTCTTTGTCAGAATCATTCTCTGCAGTAGTAAGTCACTGACAAATGACTAACGACACACCTCCACCTATTGCTGAGGTCAAGAATAGCGAAGCTGTACTTCCAATCCCCTATACGTCTTCATGGCGTGGTGGTTAATTAATTAAGCACAGGGACAAATTTACCTCTCTTTTATACCTTGCCACTGGATACAGTACAGTCTGAGCCGGAGTTGTCGTAAAAACACAAAAATTGTTTTTGTATATTTTAAATATGCGTATACACATACACAGAGATCCTGCAAGATATTTTTACGTATAGACACATTGCTAGGCAGCGACTCGGTAAACCCCTCGCGGAAGCATATACGCACAGCAATGGGCCGTCCATTACTAGGCAACGGATTAGTAAACAAACCTTCCCAACATTAGGAAGACTCTGTTTTCTACGTAGTCCGTGCGGAGAGGTTATAAAGGTGACAAAGAAAGTCGTTTGAGTGAGTTGTTTTCAAGAATTTGGTCGAGTTCTTGAGTTGGCAATCGAAGGTGACTGAGAAGAAATGGCAAAGAAGGAATTAGGAGGTGTAAAGAAGACTTCACATGTAATTTGCAATTATAATGAGACGGTTATAAATCCGTTGCCAGGATACGACTAGCGAAGACTGGGTATCCTAATACGTTCGTAACGGTGAACTGCAAAGTGTGTAGAACAGCGATATTGCTGTACTGCCTGTAGTCCCGTGTTGTCTATAACGTGTCAATAAATCCAATCATTCAATCCAGAACCCCGTCTTATAAGTCACGAGCAGAACCAAACATGTGACAATATAAACATAGGTTCTCAGAAGTCTTTTAGACTACCTTCCTTATTTTGAAAAAATAAATCTAGGCTTATGCGATCTCCATGCTGTCTGTGTGTCTGTGTATCCCATCCTTACCAACTTTCTGACTGGTTGAACCAATGTTTATGAAACTTGGTGCGTATATAATGGCACCTGAGCCCATCTCAACGGCGTACTTCATAAATCCCTCCCATCAGTCTACATGTATATATGTGTAACCCACCTCGTTCCTAGGCAACGGCTTAGTGAAAATCCCCTTATCGTTGCTAGGCAACGGCTCGATAAAATCATTTTCGCGGCAACGAATATATACGCAACAATAGAATTGTCGAACGCGTCTTTTTCTATGCGGTCCTTGTCATATCAAAGAACGTATGTCATCAGTTATTCCCAGAATTTATTTTTAATTGTTATATGTCTCAACTCGAGATTCTCGAGAGACCAAGATGATATTAAGATTCAGAGGAATGGACCGTAATGACGTCCCTCCCATCAGTTAATGATGATGATGATGATGATGATGATGATGATGATTTGTGTTAAATCGCAGTGTTTGCATTCTACGCAAGAAAAAATTATAAGGCTGTCTTGTGCACTATGACGCCTTGCAGTCTGGTATACCTTTCCCACTATTTCAGAGGAATGTGTTAGCTTGACTTGGGTATAACTCTTCTACGATGAAGATGCAAACATCAGTTTCTAGCGAAACAATGGTAGCGTTATAGCAGACAAACCACAATTATATCTCGTAACAGAGCAGTCTTCATAGTCACGCGATACAGAAATTCAAAGCTCACGAAAATGAAGAATTTATTTTCAGTGCTTTCCTGAGAGTAGCTTCCACGCAACAGGAAGAATCTATGACACGTGGACTACCAAGCGATAAATACAATAGTCCTAATTTTACATCATAAAACAAAATTATTCCTGCGCTTAAAATACTACGCACCGTGACATGAAGATATTTGGTGGAGTGTAGTTAAAAACTTCACCTTTTTGGCCCACGGCACTAGAATAAACCTGAGTGTCAAGCTTCACCCCCCGGCTGCTTTATCCCCGCGAAAACATCTCCAGATACCCATTGGGTAAAAGGCTGGGGGGTCTCAGAGACGGTCTGGACAGTGTGAAAAATAAAATGATCGCTTGCCCCAGCCGATAATCGAACCCCGGCCGTCCAGCCCGTAGCCCGTCGCTATACCGACTGAGATATCCAATCGTATTTGAAATAAACATCAGAAATAATCAGAATTAAAATTATACTTTGATTTGGTACCTTGTTACATAAAGGAAATTATGTCTTACTAAGACTTGCAAGGGCTTTGCCATGATTTCTCAGAATGGGGGGACAAAATTTTCCAGGCAGGGGGCTGAAACAAAGATTGTTTGAAAACTTGTTATTTAGCTTTTTACTTTTACCGGTCTTCCTAGAGTATGCAACACAAAGAGTAATTTATAAAACACTTAACATGTTTCTTACAGCTGAGCAGGTGCCTGGCTTTCCCCCATCCCTGTTGGCTGCAATTCTTATTTTCAGATTACTTAATGACTCTGTAGACCAAAAAATGAGAATATAGAGAGTTTCCAATATATTGTCACGGCGATAAATTTTCTCTCTTGTTTCAGAGATTCTGAACAACTTGTGTCGCGTGTTTATAGCAAGTAATGTCTCCGCCATCTTGTTTCTGACTAACTATGAAGCATATGGGAGAGAAACAGCGTCTGCGCAGTACTTCTTGCAACTTGCAGGATACTTAGGTATTCCTGTTATTGCCTGGAACGCTGACAATTCAGGCCTCGAACGAGTAAGTAACGTTATTTAATTTGTGCCAGTTTTAATTTGAAGAATATAAAGTACCCTTTGAAAACGTAAGACATAGCAAATAGTTAACCATTCGATAAAATTAATATTTGAAATATTCAAATCTGTTTTAAGATATTTTCCCCAAATATTTTCCTTCTAACTATTTTATTGAAAAAAATATCTGTTATACAAGCTCATGGAATAATCTCGGATGATGTAAAATGCAGGAAATTTCATAACGAGTTCTTCAACTTTACGTAGAATTGTTAGGGTTCAAAATACGTCATTTGAAATTACTATTTTCTAGGATATGACCCCGTGTAATTTGGTAACAACACAGAAAACAGATTACAACTACCCATTATTTATAATATTCAAAAGTCTATTAGCCTTATTCATAATCTCAAAAACAAAAATAAACGAAAACACAAAACTCTGCTCTTTCGCTATTGAAAACATGTATAATAAATAAATTCTCAACAACGATAATCACATGCCCGAAAATTGAAAACAGGAACCAGTAACCCTGTTGAACGCCATCCTTGAACAAAACTATTTACAATTCAATGACCAATTTTGCAAACAAAACAAAGGCCTAGCAATGGAAGCACCCACCTCTGCAGTCCTAGCTCAAACATTTATATAGTACTTAGAACACATGAAGATATAAAAATTTTAAACCCACGTCAGCTTATCAAGTACTTCAGATATGATGATGGCATATTAATTACATGTCGCACACACACACACACACTACAAACATAGACTACATCTTAATGGAGTTCAACTCAGTACATTCAAAAATAAAATTTACTACAGAAATAGAAGTACGCAATACACTAAACTATCTAGATCTAACTATCACAACAAACACAATCTATTTACATTAGGAACATATTGAAAACTTAATACTACATAACTAAACATACACAATGATTCATGCCACCAATATGAACATAAGAAATCTGCAATAAATTACTTATTTAACAGAATGAACACATATACAATTACACACGAAAATAGATTTAAATATTACACAAAGAATATTAAAAAAACAGCAATTACCACCAACCACCAACACATAATACAATCAACACAAGAACAAAACCCTACTCCTAAAAACCCACAGAAGACGAAGAAAGTAAAATTCACATATCCACATATTATGGCCATAAATCGAGAATTATCACACGGCTATTTAAGACATTGGAATAACCTTCAAAACTACAAATACAACAAAAACACCTAAAAGCGAGAGAACAAATAACAGACATATAATCAGAGCGCAGTGTACCAACTAAACTGCACACTAAATACGTTGAGCAGATGGGACGCACATTTAAGGCTCCATATTCAAGCCATAAGGAGAAACATACAAACTTCTAAATACGCTCAACACATACTCAACGCGGGACATACATATAGTACAATAGAGAAGACTATGGAAGTACTACAAATAAAAAAGAAAGGTCATTTTCTTAACATGCTTGAACATTTTCACACATACAAGTTGAGTAAAAAGAAACTACAAATGATGAAGCTTTCATGTATATACATATTAAAATATAATACACATCTGGAAAACTTCCTACCACAACACACCCCTACCTCACCCCGCAGAACTACACAATTATTCCCTTCCCTCGGAACATCACATGACCTCAGCTATATACCCATTATAACATAAACACTAGCCAGTCGCCATTGCAACCAGGAACGGATTCGACATAAACACTAGCTAGTCGACATTGTAACCAGGAACGGATACGACATAAACACTAGCCAGTCGACATTGTAACCAGGAACGGATACGACATAAACACTAGCCAATCGACATTGTAACCAGGAACGGATACGACATAAACACTAGCTAGTCGACATTGTAACCAGGAACGGATACGACATAAACACCTACACAGAAGGAATACACAGTACAACCTGAGGAAAGTAAGTAACAATAATGTTTTCAAAAATTAGAAATTCGGAATGAAAACAGTAATAACTTTTAACGAAATCTAATCCAATATGATAACCAATAAATTCACTCACCCTCACGGCAACATATCCAAGAAGATAAATGAGAACAAACTAAAAACTAATAGCATTATCGTGAATACCTTCTATAACATGTAAGTAATTGACCTATACCATGCAGAATATAAATAACAAATAACCCAAGGCTTAGAGAGTAATACATATGGTAATTTACTTCAAGGTAATATAACAGCGAACCCCGAGCGAAAGACAACCTAGAGTTACGGGATAAAAACACAGCATTTTACATTCAACGACAAGAGAAATTTATATAATTTTATATGTAAATTGTAAACTTTAGAAAAAATTTTAAAATTAGAAAAAAACTTGCTACTTCGTAGCAGTATCATGTATTATATGATTATGATGAGCACACTAATATGAATCCATATAAGGTCAGTTCAATAACAAAAGACGTATTTGATGAGACTACCTGAAGATGGTCCCAAATGTAGGCGGAAACATGTAGCAACTATCAAATGAAACCAAAGTGACCAGTTCGGTTGTTTCATTTTTATTTTATTTGTTGTGTTGGCGGCCAAATACCACCGATAGTTCGGAATTCGTTGGCTTTCAGAGGTAGATACTGTCTCCTGTTTCAGTGTCCAAGATACTTTAAACAAGCAGCAAGAGAACACAGACATTCTGCTAAGTCCTTGCTTTCCCATCCATTTATTTATCTTTTCTGTCGTCATTCTTCTCCCTTCCTTCTTCCCTCACCTTTTTCTTCCATTCCTCCATAACGTTTATCTCCTTATTTATTTAACAGTGTTGTCAAGTAGTTGCAATAGGATTCTGACGATGGTGTATAACACACTGATATATTGGGTTTTCGGACTTTATCCATCGTCCTGGTTTCAAGATAAGTAAGAAAAACATTACGTTTCGGAAACTGGATCTGTTTCCGTCCTCAGGTGAGGGAAAACACCTATTCTCTTGGTCCCTTAGAAAGAGCTGGTCCAGTGATTGAGGCTAGCTCTTTCTAAGGGACCCAACAGAATAGGTGCTTTCCCTCACCTGAGGGCGGAAACAGATGCAGTTTCCGAAACGCCGTGTTTTTCTTAGTTATCTTGAAACCAGGACGATGGATAAAGTCCGAAAACCAATATCTCTGTGTATTGTCAACATCTAGACTAAATAAAACTTCTTTATTTTTATGTTGGTTATTTAACGATGATGATGAGAGCGGAGCCGTTAGTTAAATAAGAATTGGAGGGGTGGGGTACCGAAGTACTGGAAGGATACCTGCCCAGTGCTACTCCGTCCACCACAAATCCCTGGGATTGAACCAGGGCTGCTGCTGCTGTGGGAAGCTGGCGACTAACCATCTGAGCTATGGCATGGCCTCTAGACTATATAGCGTCGATGGTAGGATGAATGATCAATGATTAATTACAAAGAATTCGGAAGGAAACGGTAGGGGGTTAATTATTAGGTATTTGCCTGGGAAGAAATGCTTAGAAGGAATATAAACCAATAAAATATCAGTCAGTGTGTCCCGGTGGAGATTCAAACCCAGCATCTCCAGGAGATAAACCTAAAGCTTTATCGGCAAGCGGTCCGTGTCGCTAAGGGTGTATCGTAAACTGATGGCCGCTTCGTTAGACTGCAGAACCAGCATTATGACCATGACGTAATGCGGTGTCACTGCAATGCCTCTTCCCAGCAATTGCACATGATCTTATGTGTGAATATTCGACAATAAAGAATGATTTGTCGTGTATTTCAGAGGGGATCGCAATTGAGTCTTCAGCTGCAACTGGCGCCATCTCTGGAGCACCAGACTGCCGCCATGTTGAGTATCCTGGAGAGGTACAAGTGGCATCAATTCTCCGTCGTCACCAGCCAGATCGCGGGGCACGATGATTTTATTCAGGCAGTTCGGGAGAGGATGATGCAGGTGCAGCCACATTTCAAGTAAGTAACAAAGCATACCGCAGCCCCAAGCCTCCCGGAAGGGCGAACAAACAGAAAATTATAGAAATAATTTTGTTCCTAGAGAGAAGATGGGTTAATTTAGGATTCAGTCAGTATCTGAAAGTTCTAAAATATTTAGACGGTATGGCGATTGTCGAATTGAGTCAATCTCACGACTCAAATCAAATCAAGAATGACTGTACTGGCGAAGACCAGAAGTAGTTTACCCGACCGGCCGCCGGAATGGTGAATTATAAAATTGAAAGTATTTGGAAAGAATCGGTGGTAATTTATTATAGGTAATTTCATATATAAATATATTTATTGCCTGGCAGCCCACGTCTTCTCTGGATCCGCTATTCTTCATGTCGCAATATACAGCGTTACTATATATCATTCATTCATTTTTAAAACGCTATATTTTCCAAAGCATTATACATACACATATGATTAATATATAAAAAGAACCATAAACTCACCAAGTTTTCTTCACACTCTACAAATGTTTTATGTGTTCCCCTTGGGTGACACGACACACGTCCAGGCAGTAGTCGAGCACGTTCCACACATTTTGTAGCATCATCCTGTCAATGGTCATCACTGCAGCATCGATGCGTTCCCTCAGCTCTACTAGTGTTCTTGGCAGTGGGGGTACGTAAACACGATCCTTAGTGTACCCCCAAAGGAAGAAGTCACAATGCGTTAGATCAGGTGATCTGGGGGGGCCAAGTGAACAGAGCTACATCATCCTCACCAACACGCCCAATCCAGCGTGTCCTTAAATTTCCGATACCACCGTAAAATGCTTTGTTTAAATGGTTATTCTTTTCCATACTCTCTTTTGTATGCGCGTTGCACTGCTATAACAGACAAACATCTCGCATATTGCAACAAACAAAAACTCTTTACTTGCTTTGTCGCCATTTTGTAAAGGCACTGAATTCATGCTGCCAACTGGTGCATGTAATACAAACTTGGTGAGCTTACGGTTCTTTTTATATAGAATCATATTTGTATGTATAATATTTTGGAAAATATAGCGTTTTAAAAATGAATGAATCATTGATAGTAGCCCTGTATTTGTATAAATACAGAAGCTAGAAGGACTTACAGGTAGGTCGCGATTCATCTGAGTTCGAATAATGCGAGACTGGATTTAGTGAGAACTGCACAACGATATTAATTCGCGTTTAATCCAAACCAATATTCAGTTAATGTGAGGCTAGCGCATGCGCAGTTGAGGTTGCTGATGCTGTTACTTAAGTCTGAACTACTTCGCGTTCGAATGTGCTGCCGCCTGCCGTAATATACGTCACTTTTCATGATCGGTTTTAATCGTTTTAAGAAGTGCCATTCGCAAAATGGACGAAAAGTAAAAGGTAAAGTTGCATCAGTTGTTTGTGCTTTGCAAACGTCTACACAACATCTTTTTTGGAGTTCACAGATCAAGGTGCCATCAAAACACTTGAGTCTACTACATAAGAAAAACATTTGAACGGTCAGTTGCTAAAACTGGGGCACGTAGTAGCGTATTTGGTTGAGGCATTGTGCTACAACATGAAAGGTCGCGGATTCGAGTCCCGATGAGGTGGATTTTTCAATTTATCTAATCCTTCCAGCTGCATTATGGCCATGTGCTCGACTCAGCCTCTAACAGAAATGAGTACCAGGAATCTTCCTGGGATTAAACGGCGGCCGGCGCGTAAGGCTGACAACCTTACCGCCATCTGTGAGCCGATTGTCTAGAAAATATGGGACCCTCAACGTCTCAGAACCCTGTGGTCCTTCACGGCCTGTTACAGGGATAGTTTCACCGTTTTTACCTTTAATTGCTAAAACTACAGAAGACTACAATTCCCTTAACAGAGTTCTGGAAAAATTTTAACATCAGAAATTAAATAGAAAATATTCGCCATACTTTAGAGCAAATCACTGCAACCAGCATGCGTGGAGTGTGGAAGGGCCATTTGCCTCATTGTGCAAATAGTAGTGATTTCGAAGAAGAAATGACAAATATTGGAAACGAACTTGGATACGATGGACCAGAAACTGGAACTGCTCAATTCACACTCGGAAGAATTGACTGACTATGATGTCCTTTTAGATCAACAAGTGGGGCCGCGCAATAGCTCAAGTGGTTAGTCGCTGGCAGTCCACTGAAGAATTACTGAAATATTTACAGATTCTGAAAATTATGTTCTCCCAGAGTTGTAAGCAAATAAAAAAATTGTTTTCCAATTGTATGAAAGGATTCAAGTATGCGAGAGAACTCAGTCTCTTTTGACAGATTCGTTGTAAGGCTTCAAATGATTGAGGAGTTTTTATTTTGTCGAGAGTTAGAAACAAATAATGGGTTCTGATATTCTCGCTTCAGTGAATACTTCCAAGAAAAAGGTTTTCTTTAAATTTCAGTTTGGTCTCAAAGGCGTCGCAGTAGTGACGGGATATAAGAAATGCATTTCTAAGCTCAGTATAAAAAGAACCATTTTTTAGTTACTGATAATTTGTTTTTGGAAAGGGGGAGACAGACGGAAATAGATTGTGAGAAATTATTAAAACATTAAAAAATAATAATAAACCACATAAAAATTCGCCCAATAAAATTTAGACTATTTGGAAAAATACACCAAAAAATGAGCAGAATATAAAATATTGTCATGCTTAGGAATGACTTATAAGACGGGGTTTTGGATCGGGTGATTTGATTTATTGCGCCTTATACGTACATTCATACATTTCGGGACTACAGGCAATACAGAGCTATCGCTATTCTGCACACTTTCCAATTCACCGTTGCACACGCACTAGGATTCTCAGTCTTCACTAGTCGTATCCTGGTAACGGATTTATAACAATGGCCATCTCAAGTGAATAATTTTGGGTTTCTCTTCAAAATGATTGCCCCACTACCCTAAATAAATCTTTAAATACTTCACCCCCTTCTCCATATCATACATATGTGATGAACCTCTTTATGAACTCAAAAACATCATACTTACTTATTCATGGAGCTGAGCCTTCTTGAGGAACCGGCTATTTTGCAGATACTCAAGAATTTCTCAGCATTTTATGGAGCCCGAAGGTTCATTACCGAATTTATAAGAGCCCTCCACTGGTCCCTATCAGCCCGATCAATCCAATCCATACCATCCTATTCTATCTCTCTAAGATCCATTTTAATATTGTCCACCCACCTATGCTTTGGTCTTCCCAGTGGTCAATTTCCATCTGGTTTTCCCACCAATATCCTATAATTCAAGAAAAGCATAGCGAAAAATAATAGGTCGAAACCGCTTGATACTGATGCTGATATGCGACTGCGTTTGTCTATCATTCAACTTCGTATGGAGAAACTGCTCGAATTACGTTAGTCTTAGATCTATTGACTTGAAAGTGACATTTGCAGCAATGCTGTTCACACCAACAGCATTCTAAAAATTTGCAAATTAGGGTTCAAGTCCCGATGAGGTCATTGGATGTTTTTTCAGGTGACCTAATCCTTCCAGCCGCACTAGGCCCTGGGGTTTACTCAGCCACTAACAGAAATGAGTACCAGGAATTAATTAAATAATTTTCCTGGTGAGTAAAGCGCGGCCGGCGCGTAAGGCTGACAACCTTACCGCCATCTTTGAGCCGATTGCCTAGATAATGTGGGACCCTCAACGTCTCACAACCCAGTGGGCCTTCACGGCCTGGTACAGGGATTTCGAATTTGTATCAATAAAATAATGTTAATTTATGTTTCCTCTTCAATATTACACACTGACTCTTATTATTATTATTATTATTATTATTATTATCTATCGCATCAAGAATCGTTTTTAAAGAAAAGGTACTTGTTAAACAGATCATCCATATTTACATATTTTTTCCCACGTATAATTACATTTTTTAATCTTTAAATGTCTGATTCAATGACTCGTATATTTGTAGAATGTTCTTTTTAGTACCGCGCCAAAAGAGAAAATATATCAGCAATATTTAGCTTCGAGGTTAAAATGGTGGAGCTATAACTCCACTCCTCCATTTACATTGAACATTAGTGATTATTTAAGCACAGCGACAACTTCACTTTTTTAATTTTATGTCGTTTTCTACTTTCAGTTCTCATTCCACCGTCGACTTTATGTAGTATCGATACGGAAAGAGGCGACCTTGCTGGTTGTCATGAGGCTTTAATATTGTCAGGTGTAGGGAGCTACGCGTGACAAAATGACGGGTTCTAGTTCGGATGATTGGATTTATTAGCAGCTTGGTTACAGGCTCTTTTAATTACACTCAAATTACAGCGCTATCACTGATTTACATACACCTCATAACCCACGGTTACGCACCCACACGAGTCCTCTCTCAGTAATGCAAATAAAACACATGAACTAGCGCTTCAGGTCACTCAAAGTATTACACCCAAGTATAATTAAAGTCTTTCAGTCACACGAGGAACTCTCCGTGGCTCTCACTTAAACACCAAACACTCTCAAATATACCCCTCTCAAAGTCAATGTCACATTGCGACTGACGGTCAGTCAGTCAGTCAGTCAGTCAGTCAGTCAGTCAGTCAGTCAGTCAGTCAGTAAGTCTTGGTGTCGAGCTCCATCTAGGGCTCATGACCAGATGTTAATTATTACCGTTTGAGAGTTACGGTTTTTTTTTTGTGGGGTGCCCTCTCTGACGAGAGGACGGGTCTGTCTTTTATATATGCTGCTGGCCCTTGCCAGCGCAGTCGTTCTCGGGTTCCAGTCCCAATGGACTCGCAACCATATTTTACTGTCTCAGATTCTATACTTCCCTTTTCGTCGCCTCCTACGACTCGCAGGGTCACGGTGGAGGTATTCAACCCCGCCTCCACACGGGTAGCTCCCTGTCATACACCCCTCTCAAAGTCAAAGTCACATTGCGACTGACGGTCAGTCAATGGGGCTCATGACCAGATATTTATTACTGTTTGACAGTTACGGTCTTGTTGCCTTTCGTGTATTCGATTGCGAGGTGTTTAACGG